AAGAGCAAATGGTCCTCTACTTCTGTTTTTTAAATTCCTTTAGCGTTACGACGATCCGATAATCACTTCTTTTTCATGTTACGAATATAGTTGCGCAATCGAATTAGAGAAATATTTATTGTTTTAGTTACTAACCGGCCTTTAATTATGTCAGCGATCACGACAGGTATAATTGGTGTTGGATGAAAGTATGGGTGTGTGAATTTAGGTATTAAATAAGATTGCTGTCAAAAAAATGCTATACTTTTTATATCATATCATCAAAAAAAATATTGGTGCTTTACAAATTTGGCTATTGGTATTTATAAAATAATTTTTTATATATATATATATATATATATATATATATATATATATATATATATATATATATATATATATATATATATATATACATTTTATTATTATTTGTTTTTATTTTTTTAATTTTTATTTATTTATTTTTTTTCTTATTGTTAATATGGTTGAGTACTGTTTTGGTTGTATAGCTTGTCTTATTTATTTTTAAATATTCCTCTAATAATCTTTATTTTTGTCTTGAAAACTGTCAAAATATGCTTTGTCTAATAAATAATTCTCTGTTATTCTAATGTACTTCATTTCTTCCCTCAGGCGTTCACTGCTCGTGTGTGACCATTCGGCGAATTTTATATGCCAAAGTTTTTAAATAATAAGTATGGGTGTGTGAATTTAGGTATTAAATAAGATTGATGTCAAAAAAAATGCTGAAATTCAAACTTGAAACGATTAAAACCCCTAAAACACCTTTTACTAGACCTCTCTGGCGCTCCGCTTTCTTGCTTCTTTTCATTTTTACTAATTTAAATTAAATTTTTTTTTTGACATTACATTTTAAATATCACTAAATAGTTTTAAGTGTTGCGTAGTTATGACTTTGCAATGTTTACAGCCCCCTTGAAACAATTATACTACCTATAGGTAATATAACTGTTTCAAAGGGGTTTTAAGTGTTCCGTAGTCATATCTACGGAACACTTAAAACTGTTTAGTGATGTTTAAAGTGTAATGTCAATAATAAATTTAATTCAAATTAGTAAAAATGAAAAAAAGCCAGAAAGTTATTGCCCTTAATATTGGGGTTAGTGTTTATAATATAAATGTTTATAACATCAAATGTTATAACATCAGTATAAATTATAACAATATAAATTATAGGTTTATAACATCAAATGTTATAGCATCAATATAACATCAAATGCTATAACATCAATATAAACATTATAATATGGGTGTTTCTTGTTTTTAACATCAGAAAAACCGCTGCGACTTTTGGGAGTATTTATTTGTAGATATACTTTGATTTAGACAATGCCTGAATAAACTATTTTTAACAATAACGATGGCAATATCAAAATGTAATGGAATTAAAGTAAAAACTAATTAAGTATTAATTGTATAATAATATTAAAGTGAATTTAACAGGGAAATTATTTTTCCTTGTTAAATTTACTTATAAATATATCATAAAAATATTGATTTTTTTTAGTTAATATAATCATTATCATTGTCATTACATTATATCTAATTTGTTATGATTATAATTATTATGACCGGTTGCATTTTGACCCGGTATTGCAAACATATATTGGACCATCTTTATAACTTCCGAATACTTGTAAAGTATCATTATAATCTTGAAACATTGCAACTATTATTTGTCGACAATCTTTTTCGAAAGGTGGTCTTTATAAAACCTTTGCAATTTAAGAAATTGTTTAAAAACGGTTTTATTTTTTGTCTATGCAAACATTTTTATCCTATAAATACTCATTTTTAATACTGACTTCATGCCAAACTAAATCGTTCGGCATGAAAGTAAATATACAAATAAATAGACAAGGACAGGAAAATGTTTTAAATGATTGAAACCGCCCGTTCATGAGTTTTATCCTCGGTCCATGAGTTTAAAAATCCTAAATCATTTTGGTTCATACTAAAAGCATCCATTTATAAATTTAATGTTTTGTTTGGTTAAAATTCTTTCTTTTTTCGGAGATTGCGTAATTTAAAGAAAAAGAACTTAGCTTTAATAGAAGTTTTAAGTATATCTAATTCTTATATATGGAATCTACAAAATCCTGAATTCTGTTGTTAAGCACGTGAGTAGATCAGCCGTTTTCTTAAATACAAAAACTCTTTTTGTTGTAAACTATAAACCTTATAATTTTCAGAGTGAAAAACTGAACTACAATAAATATTGAAATTGTGTTCACTATATGCCTTGCACTAATCTTTGCATTGTAATTCATTTAAAATATGTCTCACTATACATAAATTAGTCTCAGATTTTTCAATAACGTCTGGTTTTACAATAGAATAAAGTTTCATACCTTTATGTTTACTCCCATCAGTTTGCACTAAAAACTTATCATTTGCTAATTCTTTTTTGGTTATATCTACCGACGGAAGACATAATATTTCTGTACCCAAAAGGTTCTCCATTTCTGAGATATTGTACAACTTTTAAATTCTGGCGGCAGGGGGGGATGTAATCAATGCCCATTCCTTCTTCCCCTGTGTCCGCCACTGTTTTGTTGTACAGTTTAATCATTGAAAAATTTTTTGTATAAAACGAGGTGATACGACAACACCAGTTCGGCTGCAAATTTATTTCTTAAAATGCTAAATTCAAGCCTCTTTCCCATCGTTGTAAAGATGCATCTTTTTCTCTTTTAAACAAATACAATCATGTTCGCTGCTCAAAGGAGCTATCATTTTGAGTTCGATCAACTAAAAATCATTCTCGCTAGACTGCTCATTCAGCAAAGTCTTATGTTTTACTGTATCTGTATCTGCATGATCTGAAAACCTTTTTTTTGGTATTTTTTACCCTGCACTTCAACCCTTTGGAACTCTCTCCGATTTTCATGTTTTCCTGACTCATTCAACTCTCAACTTTTTAAGTTAATAATTAATTAAGAAATTCCTTTATTATTATGAAAAAAACTAATAAAAGTTAAACTACTTTCATTCGAATTTTAAGGTTATATCTTACGTTTAAACCAATTAGATATAAATATAAGAGAACAATTGTGCGCGGAATTTTCAAACTGACAAAAATGATTCAATATCTAAAGCTGCTATAATTCACAAAGAATTACATATTATAGTGGGATGTTTATCAAGCTAAAAACTTTATAGCTAAATTTTATTGTTAAGGGAGGACATTTAAAGATATTTTGCTTAAAAAAGAGGCTTAAATTGGATAATGACGGAGGAAGGTTTACTTGTTTATGATTGCAGACAAATAGACAATTTAATAGATAAACAAGATCATGCAATTAAAGCATTTTTGATACAAATAAAAAGGATGCCTTGTTTTTTTAGGTTCGATAATCATAAAAAAGCATGAGACTTATTTTGTCCCCAAAATTAAAAAGCATAACTGAGATGTGACCGAAAAATTGCATGCTATATATTGAGTAAAGTTTCCTGATTGACATAGCGACAAATATTGGCTAGCATCCTATTTAATTTACGCAATTCGGCCGCTAGTTTTTTAAGATGAGAAGAAAAGGATAGGTTTGAGTTAATAATGATTCAAATATACTTATATAAAACTACAGAAAAGATTTTTTGACTACATAGTCTAAATTTTAAGTTTTTATGCACTTTAGATTGACTTGATTTGGAAATAATGAGTTTAGTTTTGTTGGTTTTAAAACTCAGTTTGTTTGATCGCAGCCATTAAAGTATATTGGATTAATCATAATAAGTATGCTTGTGATTTTTTTTCATGATTTGTTGGTATCATTTTTTTATGAGTATGTTGGTATGGTCGGCAAAATGGTAAGCTGTTGAAAATTTTAGAGAGATATTAAAATCACTTATAAAAATAAGGAAAAATAATGGTGCTACTATAGAACCTTGGGGTACACATGTAAAGCATTTTATTGGGAAAGATTTAGTATTATTGATGGAGACAAATTGCGATCTATTAAGAAGATAACATAAATATCATGGTTTGACTGACATAAAAATTTGGCTGACTTAAAAACATCTGGAAAAAGTCATCTGTGTATGTGGCCTATAAATGGCTAATTGTCATATATAGGCCACATACACAGGCTCACGAAAACAAGTTAAGCTCACTAAAGAGCATCATAACCTAGTTTGCAGACTGAAAGTCATTGAGTTTAAGAAGAACGAGTTAAATAAACGAGTGAAAGTCAAAAGAAGTCAAATTAGTAAGATACCATAAAAAATCGGACAGATAATGCACTAGATGGTAGAATGTGCAATGGAATACACAATAAAACTAGCCTTAACTAAATATATTTTTCAATATGGTACACAAAGGCTAACAAATAACATTAAAAATAAGTTTAAGAAGGTGTGTAGGAATACTATTTCAATCTAAACTTATACCGTTTTGTAAAGAGTTTTTTTATTAAATCAGAAATCTCATTTTCGGTCACTGGTTAAAAAAAAAAATCTAATTTTTTAAATAGCCAGAGAAAATACGTTGAAAAATGTGAGCAACGGTATTACTTTCTGAAATAGTGTTACAATTAGGTTTGAAAATGCAAGATTTATTTGATGCCGATGGTTTAATGTTTTTTTTTTTTGTTTTTTTTTTTTGTTTTTTTTTTTTTGTTATCTATTTCTTGTATTGCTTTCCGTTTATTTTTTGCATTGTTGAGGTTTTTTTAAAAAAAGGAAATGTTTTATGAAATTTTGGAAATTCCTAATAAGTTGCAAATTTTATTCTGGCACAATTTAAATTTATTGAACAGACTTTTTGTGTTGTATATAGGTTATATTATCTATATAGTTTAGTAATTTGTAATAGACTATGAATAGGGTGTCCAAAATTTTAACAAAAAAATTTATTTATTTAAATATAATAACATTTATTATATATTATGTATTAGTATTTAATTTGAAAAAAAAGGCCAATATAAGTCCCTACGTTTTCGTATAAAGATGGCTTTAAATTGACGTCACTCATTTACATTTAAATTAGCGCTTGCACTGAAAATGTCAACATTGCAAAATAAACAGTAAACATTTGCTAAAGTCACGAGAGTCTTATTTATTGTTTTTACAAATAAGCACAGTGGTTAGTAAAGTCTTTTTATGTCAAGTAATGTGTTGAAAATAACTAGCATCGAATTCTAAATGGAATTGTTAGCCGGATTCTAAAACGTTATATGTTCCAAGTGATTTAGGTACTATTTTATTTTTGTTTTGTTTTAATCTTTGTCAATGTGTTTGTATTTTTTTAAATTTAATAAAATTTGAGACAGTTTAGCGTAAATCACTTTTCCAAAAAAAAGAGAAAAATAAAAAGAGAAATATATATAGCTTTAATGGGCTTGATCATCAAGCCCATGTATTCATACAGTAATTAAACAGTATGTATTCATACTGTAATTAAACAGTATGTATTCATACTGTATTCATACTCTATTCGTGTATTTGATTTTAAAGAAAAGTTCCACCTTTTATTATATATAAAAAAAAAAGATACACGGTAAACAAGTTTGGTCTTATCACCAAATTCATTATTGCATAATGAATGTAATTTAAAAAAACGAATATGAATGTATTCATCCTATTTGTTATTTTGTTTATACTCAGTAAATGTAATCATATTAAGTATGAATACATTTATATCATTTATATAATATTAAATATCTCAATTTTTCTTTTTTTAAATTATTCTTTTTTTAAATTATTCTTTTTATTAAATGAAATATTACATTCGACACAGCTAAAAAAAAACAAGCATTTATTCATCTTCATATCATATTACAAAGTAATTTGATATGAATGTTAATGTGTGCTTGTTATTTTCTAGTAGAATCTTTACTTAATCTTTGCTTGACACAATTCCAAAATTTTACTCAAGCAGATTTAAAATAACTCAAACAGCTTTAAAATAGAAATTTATATTTCTTTGTTTTTAATTTATCTAATCTTGATAAGTTGACAACTATCTTTAGTTTTTTTATAATATGACAAATGTCTTTTGTTTGTGTGTAAAAGATTTTAATTATTAAGTTTAAGATATATTAAAGAAATTCATTATATTACCTTTACTTTAAAATTTTTTCACATTCAAAGTAAATTTTATTAGTCAACTAGTTACTATAGTTATCCAATTTTTTAATTTAAAATTAGTTTTTGTTATTGCATTTAATATTTAATAAGTTGTTTATGAGTAATTGATTCCTTTGTTTAATTTTTACTGTTTGGAGATCACAATTATAATTTTGTAACATAAATACATTAAAAGACATCCATTGAATATCATTGTATAATTAATCTCTGTTGGTTGGTAAATTATAGTGTTGACTTATAATCTGATTATTAAACAGCATTGATTCTTTTTAAATAAAAATATTCAAGTATTGATCAAGTCCTAATGTATAAAGTTTGAGTTATCAAGTCCTGAGGTATAAAATTTGAGTTAATTTTATTTAATAATGTTTTGTAATAAGAAATTTAAGTCATTAAGTTTGGGATTACAAAATTTGAGTTATTAAAATCCGAAGTGTGAAGTTCAAGCTATCAAGTTCTGAAATATTTAATTTGAGTTATTTTAATCAACTTTTAAATTATAAAAAGTAACAAAAATTTTTTTGGAATTCAATTCAAGGAACACAGATTTCTTGGATTATGACATACAAAACAAAACAGAATAGATTTTAAAATGTCTTTTAAGCCTTATCTAGAAAAATACTACATATAGAATTCTAGAGAAACATAATCAAGATAAATTCTACAAATAAATATAATCTAGAAAAATCTTTCAGAATAGAATACTAGAGAAGCATAATTTAAAAAGTTATTGCACTTAGAATTGTAAAGTAACTTATCTTATCTACAATTTTTCCAAAAAGATGATTTTTTCCTTTACTAAACTTTAATGCTAGCAAGTTTACCTTCTTTTTAAATATGTTTATACGCTGCTTTTTAAATATGTTTTTGAAAAAGAAAGGGCATATTTAGATGTCTCTGCATAAAAATTATAACAGTATTCTACATAAAGATAAGTAAAAGCTTTTAAAGGATTGATTTGGAAATAGGAGTAAAAAAAACAGAGCAAGACGAAGAAAACTTAAAGATCATGACAAGCTGCTGCAACCTTTTGTTGTTGGCCAGCTAATCAAAATATTGTGGTTTTATATCAAGACTTGATTATGCATTTATAATGATGTAATTATATATTTAGATTATATTGTCATATCATTAGCAAATAAAACTAATTTAGAGCACTTAGAGAAGATATGTTTAAAAGTTGTAAAACTTGAATTCGACACAACAAGTCTAAAAACATATGAAGAATGATTTTGGTCAAGTCACTATTACAAGTTTTTGTTATATCTAGAAAAAAAACAACCTTACTTTATCTATTCCATCTAATGCAGATTAGAGCATTTCTTTTTTTTTTTTAATTATCAAATCTTCAGTACAATGACAGTATTGAAATATTTATTACATTATAAATTTGTTAAATTTCAATCATTTGTTATGTAGAATAAAAGTATCGAAATATTTATTACATTAGAAATTTGTTAAATCTCAACAAATTTTTTAAATTTACAGCTATGATTAGAAATAGTAATCTAGATTACAATTATAGTTAGAGCTAGGGGTCTTACTAAAACGTAAGTAAGGTTTTCAAAGCTCATGGCTTTTCTCAAAATGAATATATGAATATTTAAACTTTTTAGCTTGCTATATTTTAAATTTTATGTTAATATAAGTAAATCAAGGAGGCATTGCTGTAAGTTATTTCATTTTGTTTACAGCTCAATAAAAGGAGATTCCAAATTTTACAATAAACACTTAAAATAAAATCTATTTTTTGTGTATATTTCTCTTTGAATTGGTATAGACATAAGTTTTTTTAAGAAATGCTTTTGTACTTGTGTACGAAAGCATTTCTTAAAAAAACAAAATTAATTTTGTATAATTGATCTGAGACCAATTTTTTTTGTATATTTTATTTTTAACTTGAGTGATCTGAGACCAATTTTTTTTGTATATTTTATTTTCAACAAGAAATTTAGTGTGTACAAAAGTATCTCTTTTTTTAAAAAAATTTTTTTTGCATGAATACTATTATTATTATTATTGTTATAAAGGTTTACAAATTGAATTTGTATAGGCATGAAATGCCTGTCAACTTTCTTATGGTTACTATATAAATATACTAATCATAAATTGTTTTTTCTTCTTTTAGATAATTGTCGAGTTTGTTTTTAAAATTGCTCACGGAAGTAGCATTTACAACGTCATCTGGGAGGGAGTTCCATTTGTTGATTACTCGTAAGGTGAAAAAGTATTGACGAGAAGCTAGACGAGAATAAGGTTTTTCTAGTTTAAATGAATGTCCTCTTGTAATAGAATTTATAATTGTTTTTGGAAAGATCGTTTGACAGATGTAGTAGTTGTTTAGCCATTTATAGGCGTTTATTAAATCTCCCCGGATTAGTCTGTATCTTATGGTTGTCATATTAATTTTTAATAGTCTTTGGTGATATGTTAGACTTTTTAATCCATGAACTAATTTAGATGCTCTTCTGAGTATATTTTCAACTTGTCGTTTGTCTTTCAGTAGAAGAGGGTTATATACAGAACCACAATATTCTAAATATGGTCATACTAGTGCTGAAAACAGTCTTTTAAAGCAAAATGAATTTAGATAAGAGAAAGATCTTTTTATTAGAAATAGCATATGCATTGCCCTATTAACTTGAGTAGAGGTATGTTTAGAAAATAGCAAGTTATTATCGATATGTACTCCGAGGTCAGTTTCTGAGTTGGTAGATTTGATATCAATCCTTGTTTTCTTCACTGGATCGTACATAGAATAGGCAAGATATTTATTTTTATGACCTAGGTGTAAAACTGAACATTTTTCTATATTAAATTTCATCCCCCATTTAGTTGCCCAGTCAACCAAGATATCAATATCATTTTGAAGTATGGTGTGTGAATGCAAATTAGTAATAGGGTAAAATATTTTTGTATCGTCAGCTAAAAAAGCTGCATTTGAAGTAATTATAAATATTAAAATATTGGGAATATTGTTAACGTATATAATAAATAATAGAGCTGAGAGAACAGAACCTTGGGGAACTCCACTTTTTACTGATACTTAATCAGAGTAATTACCATTTATCATTACTCTTTGTCTTCGATTTGTGAGAAAGTTTCCAAGAGAGAATTGGACCATTAATCCCATAGGCTTTTAGTTTCAAAAGAAGATAGTCATGTGGGACTTTGTCAAATGCTTTTTCAAAGTCAAGGTAAATATTATCGACGGGAAGACCTTTATCTAAATTAAGTGTCCATGTATTGATTACAGTAAGAAAATTTGTTTCACAAGAGCGCCCTGGATAAAAACCGTGTTGACTAGGAGTTAGTAGATTATTTTTTAAAAGATGAATAAAAATATGTTTTTGTATTATTTTTTCAAATATTTTGACTATAGTGCATGTTAAACTAATAGGTCTATAGTTGGTAACTAGTTTCTTGTCTCCTTTTTTGAAAATTGGAATGATATTTGCATCTTTCCAGATTTGTGGTAATGTACTAGTTTGAAGTACCTTAGTATAAATAATAGAAAGATGTTTAGAGGTTTGGTGATGGGTTCTTTTTAATATTTTGGGATGTATCTCATCTGGACCCGGTGATTTAAATGACTTTATAGACAGAAGATTAGATGCAATGTTTTCAGGAGATAGATCAAGATCATTAGAGATTTGACTGGGGCAAACAGAAGATAAGTTAAAACTTGGAACAACCAATGTATCATTATCAGAAAAATTACTAGCAAAATAATTATTGAAGCATTGAGCCTCTTCAATATGAAATCCTTCATAAGCATTTAATACTGGTAAATAACATCTCAGTGAAAAGTTAAACATAAAAATAAAGTTTTTGATATATGACTATATATAATACATATTTAACAGATTGTTGTGTGCATCGAATAGTTAAACAACATATTCTAAAACTAAGTAAGTTAAACAACATATTCTAAAAATAACTAAAACAGCAATTTTAAAAGCAATTAAAACTAGAACAACTTTTTACCTTACTATGGGCCTTTTTCACTTTACTATGGGTCTTTTTCACTTTTCTATGGGCCTGCATATATAATTTTTATATGTTTTTTTATAAAAAATATTTTCTTCTTATTTGAATGTTTCTTATCTTTTTGTAAGTTTCTTATATGATTTATTAAAGGTTTCTACAATAAAATGGGAAATAGTCTATTTAGCAGCTCAGTTAAAAAAAAAGGTATATGTTATTTTTTAGTTATTATTTTTATTTTTTTACATATTTCAATGATTGTAATTTAAAACTTTAAGTTATAAATCTGCAAACAATATAATAGCAAAATCCTAAAAATTAGTAAATATCAAAGATTATTAACACAAATCTATTAAGAAACAGGGGTGGACAAAACTAGTTGCATTTTTTTTACTCTTTGAGCTCTGCAGTTCTATCAACAAGTTCCTTTTTACTCCATACTGGTGTAATTTGGATAAGTTTATAATTTTATATCTATAATTCTCTAAAATTGATTTTTTTAATGTATTACTAAGTAATACATTAAAAAAAATTTACTTTAATTTAAATTTAAGTTGGTAGTCAATAATACTTTGTACAATAAATCGATTTGAGTTAAACATGAGACTTGGTTTTTTCAAATTTACAGCCAAACTTTATAAAATTAATTCAAACTACTAATTAGTGTTTTTTAACAGGGCGAGTTTGCTTAAAACATTTTAAACACATCTACCCTTTTAAAAAACACAGATTTTTGTCTGATATAAAGTGGATATTTATCATAAATATCCACTATATATCAGACAAAAAAACCAAAAAGGTTCATCTTTAAAAACCAAGAAGCTTTTTAAAGATGAAACCTTTTGGTGTTATAAATTCTTATTGTTAAGTGCATTATAGTAACTATGTTATTTTTATCCTTGATATAAAAAAAAAAAATTGTTACAATCAAATTATATTTTATAATGTCAATCAAATACTTAGATGTACAAAGTTCAAGTCTGGTGAACTTTGATGTAGTTATGAGAACACACTTTTTTCTTGACCAAAACCTATGACAACTGTTGTACATATAGTTATCTAACTAACTTTTGTACAGATAGTTACCTAATTAAGCTATGATGACTGTTGTACTAATTGCATTTAACTTCAATTTCTTTTACAAAGTTTATCCATTTTAACATCACTTTAGTTAAGGTCCTATACTTAAAAAATCAAAATTTTAAAAAACATTCATATTTTATGATTTTCATATAAAAAATAGTATTTTATATTTAAAGCACAGTAAAGGAAAAAAAATTAATTTTTTTTCCTTTACTGTGCTAAATTTCGGATCCATGGATCCTAAATATGGACTACATGCTGCAATAAACAGCCTGTAAACTAATAATGGTGTGATCATGAAATTTTCACAGCTTTTCAATATCAGATGATTACAATCACCCTGCCAAATCAAATAAATTAACAAACTATTGAAGCTTTCGTAAGAAAACCGATTTAAGGCCTAAAAAAAAAACCCAAAAAGGCTTAGAACCTAGACCTTAATTTTAGAACCAGTTAACTAACATGAATTCTTTTGATAAAGTGAAAGTGCATATATATAATAAAGAATTCCTACACATTTTAACACAATCAAACAAAGCAATTTCAAGATATTTATCGCAGCGTGCAAAAAACTCATATATTGAGAAAAACAATAATAAAAATTAAAAAAAAAAAAAAAAAATAATATATAAAAGGTCAAAAACTATTAAAAAACAAAATGACTTAAGCATTATAAAAAACACAGAAAAAAGAAAATTGTGAAAACTCTTATATTTGAAAAACATTTAACCAAAATAAGTTATTCAATTAATGAAAATAAGCTTGAACATAAAAAGATAATACACAATAACTACATTAAAAAATACTCAACATAAATTTAATTTAAAAAGTAACAAAAAAGTAATATCTAAAAAACTTGTGCTTCATAAGATGTACCTTCACTTTCAATCACTATATCTGTAAAACCTTTTTGTTCTGCACAAAACAGCTTTCTTCTTTGTTTTATTGAGTCAAGTGACTTTTTTCCCATTATCTTTATTCTTTCTTGGTCTATTTTGGTACAGTACTCATTAGCAAATGTACCTGGTATAACATTTAATTATTTAAATATGTTTAATATACCAGAAATACAATCATTAAATGAAATTACTGCTGATGCAACACTTATTTCTTAAGTAGTAAGGCAAACAAAAATCTCTTTAGGATATCGCTTCCAAATGATAGCATTAATATATTCATTTGAGTTTTGAGTTTTGCCATGTAAACATCTACAAAGAAGTCAAGAAAAATGGATTTAATTTTATCCCTAATAATTGGTATTCCAGATTTCTCCTTGTAAATTTTTGTGTTATTAATTTTATCACACTGATATTTACACCAAGAATCATTAGTTCGAGGGCACATATAGTGTCGTAATTCTAAACTCAAAGCAACTTAGCAGTGAAATAAAACAGAACCAATTGCTTTTTTCATTTGGTAAACTGTTGAATCAGTACTTTTCTGTACTGCAATACCATAATAATTTTAAAGTTTATTAATCAACTTATCAGTAATCGACGTTTACCTTCTAATGATTTGCCATCTGCCAACTTGGTTTTGTCAGTAGATTTGAGTGTGCGTAGTCTATTACCAAATGGTTTTTGCACATGTCCTACACATTCTAATTTTTCAACTATCAAACCTGGGTAGTGATCACTTTTTAAAACCTCAGCATGTGCTTTGGAATCCCCGTCTCCAATGTAATGAGTATTTCGAAGTCCCCTTTTGTCTATAGATTTCATAAAAAAATCTACAATATTAAAAACTTCCATAGATCCAGCAGAACTTTTGTGATTATTTAAACAATCATGGGTTTCTAAAAAATTTTTATAAAGTTCTAGATTGCTTTTTTTTTTTGATTCCCATGATGTACAGGCATTGCATATTTTTGAAAGAACTTGAAAGTTATCACATTTCCCTGACTCTCTAGCAATAACAGTAACAACACCATTAAGTGAGGAATGACCCCTTTTTTGCCAAGTTCCATCACAGGAAACAACAACATCAGCTATAATACATTATTATCAAAATCATTTGGTTGGATATCGTTGTTAAAATGTTGAAATTCATTTGCTGCATTTTTTATTTTCACTTCAGCTACTCTTTGGTATATTATATGAATTTTATTTTGAATATCAATAAATGCTTTTATGTTCATTGGAGGAGGTAAGTTCATTAAACCATAAAAATTTCTCCAAACCAGAATGACATTTTCTTATCTCTCTCTCATTGCAACAACAGATCTATATTTTATTTTAAATTGTGATTTGCCTGGAGCTTGCTTTTCAATCTCTTTGCTAAAATAAAAAGACTGTTTCCAATTGCATGAACATGTTGCACAAGAAATGTTTGAAAACACAGCCAAGCCTTTTTCTTTTGATAAATCAGTTGAGATTTGAATTGAATTGTTATGGCATTGAGGACAATGTCCTCAATCAAAGTAACAATTGATTTTAAAGTGTCTGTGTCAATAAGTACAAAGCATGAAGGCAATTTATTTGAATCATTAACTTTTGCATTACTAGTTTTACTTCTATGTGATAACTTTTTTGAAGCTGTCGATGTCAAAATTTTTGATTGAGTTGAGGAAATGATTTCCGATTGAGAATTTAAATTAATGCTGGTAGTTGATGCTGAGGAAAATTGAATTTCTCTAAGTATTTCTTTTTGAAAATCTTGTTACCACCTGCTTCCTTCTTAAATTTGGATCACATTTAATTTTTTCCATAACAAAAATAAGCATGAGGCAAATAAAGTATAACATGAGGCTGATCATTTTAAAGTTTTACTTTTAATGAGTTATTAAAATTTTTTGTTGACGCTAAAATTATCAGATCTTTAATCTTCGTTTTAGAAAACTGTAAATGTAAAAGTTAAACTGTAAATGTAAAAGTTAAACTGTAAATGTAAAAGTTAAACTGTAAATGTAAAAGTTAAACTGTAAATGTAAAAGTTAAACTGTAAATGTAAAAGTTAAACTGTAAATGTAAAAGTTAAACTGTAAATGTAAAAGTTAAACTGTAAATGTAAAAGTTAAACTGTAAATGTAAAAGTTAAACTGTAAATGTAAAAGTTAAACTGTAAATGTAAAAGTTAAACTGTAAATGTAAAAGTTAAACTGTAAATGTAAAAGTTAAACTGTAAATGTAAAAGTTAAACTGTAAATGTAAAAGTTAAACTGTAAATGTAAAAGTTAAACTGTAAATGTAAAAGTTAAACTGTAAATGTAAAAGTTAAACTGTAAATGTAAAAGTTAAACTGTAAATGTAAAAGTTAAACTGTAAATGTAAAAGTTAAACTGTAAATGTAAAAGTTAAACTGTAAATGTAAAAGTTAAACTGTAAATGTAAAAGTTAAACTGTAAATGTAAAAGTTAAACTGTAAATGTAAAAGTTAAACTGTAAATGTAAAAGTTAAACTGTAAATGTAAAAGCAATACAACTATAAGAAACCATAACTGTTAATTAAACTGAGATGTTATCTATTTTTTTAATCAAAAATGATGAACCCAAGATTTTAATTGGAAGTGCATTTCTATATATATTAACTTTATTTTTAATATTGTTTTTTTATTTATAGTTATATATTGATAAACTGATTTATAATTATATATTGATAAACTTGATTTATAATTATATATTACCAAACTGTTTGTTTTGATCAATCCAAAATAGTATCATCACTTCCAGTAAGATTAGAAAAACAAGAACCTAAAAAAGTAACTTTTATATGTATTTATATATATTTTTATGATAATTTTGTATTATTTATTTAAACCCAAGCATTTCTAACTACTATCAATATTATTTGCACTTTAAGAAAGTTTATTAAAAAGCCTTTTTATGAAAACCTTTCTAAGTACTATCAATATTAATTGCACTTTAAGAAAATTTATTAAAAAGCTTTTTTATGAAAACCTTTCTAAGTACTATTAATATTAATTGCACTTTAAGAAAATTTATTCAAAAAAAAAAGATGAACCTTCCTGTATTGAACACTGTTGAAATATTTAGGCTGGTTTTTCTTAATATGATCTTTTATTCTATGATCTTTTATTCTATGATTTATTAATATGATCTTTTATTCTATGATATTCTATGATTTTATTCTATGATTTTATTCTATGATATCTATGATTCTTTTTTAAACACGTTTTTTAAACATTAATGTATTGAGCAACTCTCCCATTGTTGTAAACTTACATCTCTTTACCTTTTTTACAAATACTACCGTATTCGATGCTCAAATTAGCTATTATCTTGAGTCCCACCAACCAACACTAATTTCAGCTTGACTCATCATTCATCAAATTTGCATTTTTATTATTCTCTTTCTCTTTTCTTTTATGTTCTAAAATCATTTATCTCTCTAGATACTTTCCTTGCACTTCAACGCTTTGCCACTCACTACAATCTTTATATTTTTTATACTCGTGTATAAAACCTTGAATGTAACCTTTAACTTTTTATTTCTTCTGTAAACCTGTTTCCTTGCTCTTTAACACTATTCTTAGTTAATAGTAAACTTTAACTTTATAAATGTTTCTTGTTAGAATTGAATTAGTTAAAAAAAAAAAAAAAAATCAAGCAAGCAGTTAGTGTTATAAAATCAAAATTCTTAAAAATCAAATTGAAAACTCACAAATATCAAATAAAAACTCAAATTAAAATCATAAAACTAAACTCACACCAGAAAAGAACCAGAAAAGTATTTTATTGTTATGAATATTATGCATATTAAGGGGTAAACAGATTCTATCTGCTGACCAGCGGTGCTCCCCTTTTTTTATCTATTAGACTGGTGATGATGTATTTATAACACATTATTTTCAATTTAGGATGTTTAATGCTGGATCTTTTTGACTTGTTGCATATGTTTGGCTTGTGTCATTGTTGTATGATTAAGCAATTTTTTCTTTTATCTCCTAATAAGGGTATATCTCTAAAACTCAGGTTTTTTGTTCTGATGCTGGCTGGTAGTCAGGTTTTCTAAACTCTGTGGTAGCTCTCAGTGAGACCGAATCCATTACCAGCTGTAAAGTTTTGCAGTACTAACAGTGCCATGTTGCGCATGGATAGTGTCTCTGTTTGTAATTTGGATGTGCATTGTAGAGGCCACATTTGGACCCCTTTATTGCGACTAAAGATTTGATAGTTGTATATACGCAACTGCTTAGAATATTTTTATTTAATTTATTTAAAATTCAGTTTTCACATGCTAGACCTGGGTATTTACATTTGTAAGAGTTAACCCATTTGTCAAGAACTAGATTTAAATTAACAGACTATTCTTTAATGTGCTTTTGTTTAGCACCACTTCGCTCTACCACCTTTCTCTTTGTTTTATATCGCTCTCCTTCATCTCAAGACTAAACTTTTTTTGATGCTATTTTTTATTATTTTTACCTAACCATTTCTTTTTATGCTTCAGCCAATATCTTTGTAGTTGCTCACTGTAATGATCATCAGGCAATAAGACAAGTTTTGCGTTTTTCAATTTCAAACACAAAAAGTTTAAATAATTGTTTAAAAAAAAAAAATGTTACTATTTTTATAAGCTAAAAATTAATGATGTTTTTAGTGGTTATGAAGACAGATAAGCTAATAAAGTGTGTAACATGAATAGTAGTTTAATTGTAGTAGAGTCAAATCTAAACTCTCACCTTAGTGACTGGGGGGAGGGGGTCCCGACCACTGATTACCTATAATAATATAGAATTTAAAAAATAATAGCTTCATTTTGAAATTAATCTATTAGGTATTTAGATATTGTAGGGTGGCATTGGTCATGGAAATCACGGAAATGTCATGGAATTTTATTTGGTCAATGAAAAAGTCACAAAATTTTTATATTTTTATTGAAAGACATGGAATATTCATGGAACTTTTTAAAATTATCTTTAATTTTTTCTACTTGTGATAATTTTAGGATGCAAAGAAAAATTGCTAAAATGTCTAGTTTTTTTTGAAAGATATTTTTGCAGTGTAAAATATCACAGAAGTAAAAGAACAAGAGTTTTTTTCAGACATGATTTCAGACATTTTTCAAAACATTCTACCAATTAGTTTTTGGTTTCTCACACTTTTTACCAGTTATGCTATCTAATAAATCTATCTGTTGCTCAATTTGTTTAACTTTCCTATAAAATCATTTTTATATACCAATTAATACCAATTTTTCTTTTGATTTTTGTTTTTATAAATTTATTTGCCTTTTTTTTTTACATGTTTAAAGTTTAAATTTCTTATTTTTAGTGTCTAAAAATGAATTGGCTTATGATGAATTCATTTCAAAATGTTGTGGTGAAATAAGCTATAATATTGGAAGTGATTGGTTGCGATGGGGAAGACACCTCGGTCTAAGT